ACGCGTACCAGCCATGGCCCCTCAGCTGTCAGCGTGTCCTTGGCTTCACGTTCGCGGCGTCGCAGCCCCACCCGCCGGCGTCGCGGGCTGGACTCGGAGCCCTGTCGGGCTGGCAACAGGCAGCTGTACGGCTGTAACACGTCCCGATGCGGATGCGGGGCCCAGCTGGATTCAGTGCTCCACGCAGGCACTGGCAGAGAGAGGGGTCCGCGTCTTCACGGGTCGACCAGTAACCAAGCTACCTAAGTACACGCTTCTGCGACTTCCGCGGCCTTCTCCGACTTCCAAGTCGAAGTTGGCCTTCTTCGACGCCCTCCCGCGACACGCGACTCTTCTCTTCGACGAGCAACCTGCCGCTGCCGCTTCTCGTTCTCTGTCTTGTCCCGCATACCCAGCCAGCCTACCAGAGACCCTCCTCGGACTCCGCCTCGGACGCGACCAGACCCTGCCCTAAGCACATACTGCACGCGCACGCCGCACGCCGCACGCGGCCAGCGACGCGGTGGCGCAGGGCCCGCTCCTGTCCCCCGTCGCTCGTCGGGCCTCGCGATCTCATCTTATCGCGCCATCGCAAGATCACGGGATCACGCCATCAGATCAGATGCCGGGCCCTTGCCTCGCGGGTTTGGACGGAGGCTCTGCTTCCGTGGCTGGGTATGCTGATATATTGCGGATGGGAAGCGCAGGCCGACCGTGACGCCGCGCATGCCCGGACGCGGACGCCGGTCGTCGTGACGCGTTGCCATTGCCTTCGCCATCGCCCTTCCCAGTGGGACGCACACGACACGACTTGGAGCATGGAGATAGCGGTTGCTTCCCGGTTGGGTATCGGGGTGTGCGCCACCGGCGGCCTCCCGCGTCCAAGCAACGTTAACTGGACACTGCCAGCCGGGGTTACCTGCTACGAGTGCCTGTGGCCGCCGGCCCAGCGCTCAGCGCGCCGGCCTGGGGCCCAGAGCGCCACGGGCCCCCGTTGCGCGTCTGGTAGCAGGGCAGGCGGGAGCACTGCGCGTTGCTCATCGCGCGCCGGCGCTGCTGACCAAGATTGAAGAATGTTCCGCGATCGCGCGGGCCTTCACGACACACCGCACCGGACGCCCATGCAAGGTCCATCGGATTTCAGGCGGGCCTCTGCGGCTGCGTCTGCGTCTGCGTCTGCAGGCGGGCGTCTGCGTCTACTTGAATGCTGTCCGCGCCCGGTCCAGCTTTTTATGTAAGGTTTACCGTTCCTGCGTGCCGCCAGCCACACAGCGTTAGCCAACTGCAACTTGAATGGACGTTCCATCCATTCTGCATCGCGAGTCGCGACGGCGTCTATCATCCGGCCGAATACCTATCGACATCGCCCGTGCGCGCTGTCCGTCGCCGTCGCCCCTCCCGGCGTTTGCCCGCAGCGGACCCAGGCTCGACGCGCGCCTGATCTTATCTGTATCTGCGTGCGCGCTGTCGTACTACCAAGACAAGGGTCACATTGTATGCGGGCCCGGCGTGCAGACTAGGTTCGAGTCGTCCGTTCGCCCGTTCAGCAGTTTACCAGCTTAGCAGTGCACCAGCCCACCAGGCCACCAGTCCAGCTGGCGCGCACGCGTGACCCCCTGTACCGTTTCCGCGCCCGCCGCCCGGCGCGCACCTGCCATACGCGGCTAGCCGCTAGCCGCTAGCCGCTAGCCGCTCGCGTCTCCATACATATGTAAGCGCGCGGATTTACCGCGGCGACGTTGGCGTGACGTGCGAACGCGGCGGGGTCCGGGGCTAACGTAGCGCCTTGCGTAGCGCAGTGCGTAGCGCAGTTTGAGCGCAGTGCGCACGCACAGGGGGTGCCGGCACGGTTATGTACGCGTGCGGGCAGGCAGGCAGGCAGGCACTGGGGGTACGGCAGCGTGCGCGGATGCGTGGATGGGGAGATGGTGCGGTGCAGGGATGGGGCGGGGGCGCGCCGGGCCGGAGGCAGGCAGGAGCCGGGCGGGCGCCGCGCGGATGGGTCGAGGTCGGGCTCGGACAGGATCTGCCAGCGCGCAGACTTAGACCATCGAAGAGGGGCGCTGTTCTTGAAGTGGGCGACGCGTGTTGTGTTGTTCATGAAAAAACCTGCAGGCGCGATGACAGTTGAAACCCGGGCCAGCTGCAGGCATCCGACCCGGCGCGCACATGGCCAGGGGGGCTGCCGCTGCTTATCTGCTATCCGGGCGTGTGGCGATAACGCGGGTGATTTACGCCCTCTGAGGGCAGCGTGCATGTGGAGCGCGGAGTGCGGATGCGCAGACGCAGACGGGAGGAGCCAGCGGCGCCGGATCGATATCCGAGGAGGCAAATGGCCACAGAGAAGCTAAACTGCAGCAATGCGCGGATGCCGCCTTGCTCACTGCCCAGTGCCGCCTTGCCCAGTGCCCAGTGCCCGCTGCCCGCTGCCCGCTGCAGGGCCAGGGACAGGGCCCTTCTGCTTCTCCGCCGTCCTCCGCGCGCGTAAGCACGCCGCCGTCAGCGTCAGCGTCAGCGTCAGCGCGGCCGCGGGTGCGATCACGAACGATCACGATTCCGGGCAGGGGCAGCGCATCGGGCGGCCGGCACGGCGTCGGCGCCATGTGGCTGGTGGGCGGGTGCGCTGTAATATCGCAGTCCGATATTGCGCCGCGCCGCGCAACGCAACGCCGTTGCTGCGGGTGCACCTGAATATGAATACCGCGCATAATTATAAGCGGCCTGAGATGCAAGTCCAGGGCCAATAGCATGCAGCCTAGGCATCCCCGGCGTGCCCGAGCCCGACGTTACTACTCGTCATCGCTCGCTCCCGCGCCGGGCCGCGCCGCTGTCGCTGTCGCTAACCCCGCGGAGGCACCGTGGGACGCGGGTGTACTCTGCAGCGCACTGTATATGACTGTATGTCCTTCGTATTTCATTCCATTGCATACAGCGGGCGGGCTTCTTTTCTTTTCTCTTCTTCCTTCCCCCGACTCGAGCGACGCCCGGAAAGGAAGGAATTAAAGGAAGGCAGGGAAGGCAGGGGAGAAACGGAAGAACCGGAGAAGAGAAGGCGAATTCGAACCCAGAAGTGAATGAAGCACTCAGAACCCAGAAGTGAGTACGAAATGAAGTGAGTGGGTATGAGCCCCGGCGCCGGCGCGTGCCATGGCGACGCCTGCGGCCGTGTGGTGCGTGTCGCTCAGAGTCAGGCTCTGCAGCGACAGCGACAGCCAGTCGCCCGATAGCGATACGGATACGGATACGGAGAGCGATAGCGATAAGCGGCCGGCGCCAGCAATCGCCATGTGCACCCACCCACTCACCTGTATTCACGCTCCTGAGTGGATCGCATTCAGCGTATGCACGCCCGGTCATCCTGCTCGACGCCCGTCGACGAACACACACCGTATTGAACGGCGGTCCTGCCCTGCTTCCCTTCCGCACGCCTGACGCCCGCGTCCAAGTGGAGCGTGCCTGCCAACCAGCCAGCCAGCCCGCGAGTGTCGTCGTCGACGTCGTAGCGCTCCTCGGCCCCGCACCGCGGCCCTCGGTGCCTGGGAGCCCCATGGCCAGCGGCGGCGGCGGACGTACCCTGTGCCTGCCCGTGCCAGCGCCCCACTCGCACGAAAAAACTGCAAAACCCCGGCCCCTCCCCACCGGGTCCGGAGCTTGAAGCGCAAGCAGCCTAAATCACGCCGCTTCGCGCGTTCTCCCACTTCTACATCGTGGCGCACGCACGCGGGCAGGACAGGCAGGACGGGACAGCGAAGCCCCGTCAGCACAAGCGCAAGCGAGCGAGGGCACATGGGGCGGCGCACGTGGCGTCACGCGTCACGGATCACGCGTCAGGCGGCGCGGTCATGTGGCCTCCGCCTGGGTAATCTAATCTGGGCGTGCATGCGTGGGGCGACCAAGGAAGGGAGGGCGAGGGGAGGGAGGGCGGGTGGACGCCATGCATGGGCGCGGGCGTGGGAGCAGCCGGCGCCGGGCGGGGCCTTATCTTATCTGCGCTGTACCTAGTGCACATGCACGAAAGTCGCCTGCCGCCCTGCTTCGCGCCCGATATGGACGAGCCACGCACATGTGCGCGGGGCCGCCCGCTGGACACGTGCGCGCTCGCTCGCTGCTCGCGAGCCTGGGGAGGTCCGAGCCCCAAAGAAACGCGACGCGCACCCCAACGCTCACGAACATCCGTATTCCCAAAAAATAATCGAGGGCACACCTGCTCCGGATCCGCGCGGCCCTGGCGCAGGCGCAGGCGCAGGCGCAGGCGCAGGCGCAGGCGCAGGCGCAGGCGCAGGGCCGATCGCAGTGGCCGCTTACTAGTAAATACAATACCTCCCGCCCACCCGGGTCCCGGCGTATTACAGCGCCGATCCTGGATCCTGGATCCTGCGCTCCAGCAGTCCGCGCGCGCATGCCATTTGTCAATGCAAGTGCAAGTGGGCCCTGTGTATTTTGATCGTGATGTTATTTCCCGTGCGATTTGCGCTTGCGCTGTGCGCTTTGCGACTAGGGATTTGCGCTTTGCCTGCCAGTCCCACACCAAGGACCCTTCGCAGGGCTGCAGCTGCGGCGGCCGCACGGCACACTTGCACGGATCCCCCCGCGGCCGTCGCGATCAGCCCAAACCCGGCGCAGGGTCGGCGGCGGTCCTCCGCTGCCCAAGACCAAGACCAGTCTGACTTCCAGCCCACGCGTATGTACTCCATCGTCGCGCACGCGCGCATCTATTCCGTACACAATAAGCCAAAAAACCTAACTACCAGGCAATAATCCGATACAACAATACTCCTATCATAGGCAACAGATAAATAGCGTCCTCGACGGCCAACAAACACACAAAACACACATCCAACACGACACAAAAACACGAAAGCAAGCGGCGAACGAAGGGCGAAGGGATAAAGATACACGTTGTCGTCGAGGCCGGGCGGGGGTGGTATACGGCAGGCGCGGGGGGGAGGTATAACGGGGCGGGGGGCGGCTCGCGCCGGGTGTCGCATTTTTTTCCAAAGTTTTTTTCACGGCGCGGCGCCTCACACGAGCACGCTCCTTGGCTCCTCCTTCACGCTCACCATGCCCATCCCGTACCCGCCATACCCCCCGTCCTCCCACGCCGTCCCCGGACCGGCATGCATATCCGGCATGCTCGTCCTTCGATACAGCTCCCCTGCGCCCGCGCCGCTCAGCACCTCGTCGTGCAGGCTCCCGCTGCTGCCGACATGGTGCAGCACGTGGCCCGGCGGGCTCGCGTACCCCGCGTGCGGGGAGGCGCCGAGGTGCGCGGGCGAGCCGGCGCCGTACCCCATGCCGACGCCGCCGGTCGTGTTGCTCCGCGGCTTCGTGCGCAGGCCGGGGATCTCGGGCGCGTGCGGGAGGCGGATGCCGAGGGCGAGCCCGGCGGAGTGCGGCGGGGAGGACAGCAGCGGCGGGGAGCGCGACGCGGAGGAGCGCCCCGGCGAGGCGAGCGCGAGCGGCGGCGGGTGCGGCGAGTTGAAGGAGGTCGAGGGCGTCGAGGCGGAGTACACCGAGGCTGGCGGCGGGTCAGCGTGGGAATAATAGAGAGGGGGGGAGAAAGCTAACCCGCGTCGTCCCAGTCGCTCGCCCCGCTGCTCTGCGTCCCGCTCCCGTTCGAGCCGACGCTGCCGCGCCTCCCCTTCGGGCTGCTCGCGGGCTGCTTCGGACTGCCGCCTTCCCTTTTCGCGACGCCGCCACCGGCTGCGCCGCCCTTGCGCGCCTTGTTCCCCGCGCGCAGCTCGTCGAAGCGGAGCGGGCGCGGGCGCAGGTGCGTGCGCTCGTACAGCCCGCACTTGTTGCACACGATCTTGCCCGGGTTGAGCGTGCTGCGGCGCCAGCTCGGCGGCTCCGTCGTGTGGCAGTTGAAGCAGCGCCGGCGGAGGTACTGCGTCTCCTTCGACGCGGCGTCGTCCGTGTGCTGCACCTGGATCGCGTGCGCGTGCGCGGCGTACGCGAGCGGGCCCATGTGCGCGTGCGCGTGCGGCGGGGGGAGGTGTGGGTGGTGGGACGGGGGGAGGTGCGAGGGGTGGTGCGGGAGGTGCTGCATCTGGTACGCCATCTGCTGCTGCTGCTGCTGCTGCTGGAGGCGCTGCTGCTGCTGGTGGTAGTACCCGTCGTACGCCCCGTCGTAGAACTGGCCACCATGGCCGTGCAGCGCGGCGGGCTCCGCGCTCATCGGCATGTCGTACTGCGGGTGCTGCTGCTGCGGGTGGGGGAGGTACTGCGGGTGCTGGTGCGCGTACTCCTGGCGCGAATACGGCAGCGTCGCGCGGCGCACCATCGTGTACTCCTTCCCCTGGCCCTGCTGGCTGTGGCCTTGTTGCTGCTGCTGGTGCGGCAGCGGGGGCGACGCGGGCGACGTCCAGTCCGCATAGTGGTGCTGGTGTTGCTGGCCGTGCTGGTGCGGCGCGGGGACGGGCTCGTCGTACAGCTCCTGCAGCAGCGACGGCCGGCGCTCGTCCTCCTCGCCGCCGCCGAACACATGCACCTGCTGCTGGCCCTGCCCGCCCTTCCCGCCGGCGGCGAGCGGGAGGGGGAGCGGGGGCGACGGCGTGCGCGGGGACGGCGACCCGCTGTCGCTGTTGTGGCTGCTGCTCGCCGTGCCGGGGCGCGCGCCGTGGCTGTGGCTGGGGGCGTCGAACTCCATGTATCCCAGCGGAGGGAGGGACAGTGCGTAGGTGGGGGGGGGGAGATTTGGCGAACGACAGCCGCCAGGGGCCCATTAAGAACACGCGCAGCCGCCCGGCGAGCCAGCGCATGGGAACGTCCCAACCCTCTTCCCAGCAGCCCAACTCAATGCGCGATCTGCCATCGGCATCGGGATCGAGATCCGCCCGCATGGGGCTACGCGCGAAGCCAGCCAGCCGGGCCTCACCCTTCAAACGCATAACGGCGTCACGTCACGCGGCGTACCGCTCGCCTGGGTCGCGCGTCACGGCGCCGTCACGCAGGGAGAAGGAGAGAAAAGAAGCAGCGCCGGATTTGGAAGGGGGGGGAGGGGTGGGGGGTGTTTGGGGGAAACGGACCCCGGGGGGTATGGTGGGAGTGTCCCGGTGGGAGTGTCCCGGCGAGCGAGTGTGAGTGGGGGGAGGGGCTGGGGCTGGGCAGCTGTGCAGCCGCACGTGCCCCTCCCCTCCCCTCCCTATGTCCCGGCAAAGAAAAGAAATAAATATAAACAACAATAACGAGCGCGGACTCCGGACTTTGCCGCGCCCGCGTGCGCAGCGTGTCATGCCCCGGACATAAGCGTGGATACAGTGTATTCAGAACTAATATCGGTGTGCGGATGCTGCGTTCGCGGAATAGGCCCGGGGCGCGTAAGCGCGCGTACGCGTAGCCTGTATGTATAGGCTGCATCGTCTGTATTAGGCCCCCGGCGTATGCGCTAAGATGTTCGATCCAAAATGGCATGATTTGGTCAAATTTCGACATGGCTGTTTGGCTTCAGAACATCCGCATAAGGATCTGCTTGCCTGTTTATTCTGCGTCGACATCCGCACAAAGATCGGAGTTTCTCAGCAGCACCAGCATTATTTTGGTCATATTTGTCCGCACAATGGATCAAACATAGAAAACCGAGCTACTACCTTGATACTATGAGCTGATTGAAGCAGAGTTTTCGGGAAATATGATTTGGCTCAAATTTGGATACTGTGAGAGAACACGAAGAATTACAAGAATCTAGGGACCGCATAATGCTTTCGAGGCCCTTGGAAGTCCGCATTGCGATATGACTTGAGCACCAGCAGCACAATCCGACCTCGGACATACAAGGCAAAAGGACCCATTTTCGGCGCATAAATATCGTACATTAGAGCCTTTTTTGGACGACTTTCATCCGCATAACTATCAAACATCTTAGCGAATACGCCGGGGGCCTTCTGTATTGCGGGCCCGGGGGTGGGTGGTGGGTGCGTGCGTATGTGCTACCGGCGGGCACCGGGCACCGGATGCGTACGCAGCGGGAGAAGCCACCGGCTGCAGCCCAAATGCGCTCGCAATCCGGTACACTGTGCACTGTGCGGAGGCCCTCGAAACCGGCGCCAGCTGCAGTCCGCACCCCCAACGTCTGCAGCTGCCAATGCCACTCCGTCGCTATACAACCCGCCTTCCATTCTGGCCCCACGATTATCTACATCTCTATCTACATCTACATCTATACTTATCTGTACATTGAGTTTTGACAGACGTCGCCGTTCGCCGGTCGTGACTCTACATAGTACATTGTACGCGCGCCGACAGCTCACCTCACATCGGCCCGGCCTGCCCGGCGCGCCGGCTGGCGGGGATGCCGCGCCGGCCGAGGGTCGGGCGTCGCGACGCGCACCGCAGCACGCTGTCGCTGTCGCTGTCGCCGTCCCGACGCACGCACGCGCGCGACTAGTCGTCCTGCTGCAATTCGTGACTCCTGCTGCAATTCGTGAGTCACGAATTGCGGGAGGGAGAAGCCTCCCCCCCTCCCGGGTGTGCGTCTGCTTCTGTGGCGGACTGTATATACTGTACTACAGCTGTGACTCTCACTCCCAGGCCGGCAGCTGCAGCTCACGTCGACTCGATGCGATGCGGGCGCAACCAGACGCGTGACCGCGTCGTCAAGGCCTCCGAGCGCCGATTCGCCGGCGCCGGGGCCGTAGCAGCACCCGAAGCAGAAGACGCGCGCCCTCGTAGATCTACGACTAACACTTACTCGGCGTCTGCAGGATACGCAGATAGCGATAGCGATAGCGAAACCGATAACCGACGATCCCCCTATCGTCTTCCAGAAACCGCCACAACCGGCAGCCCTCCCCCCACCTCTTTCGGCCCACCGCGCAAATCCAGGACTCGCACACTCGCACAATCTGCCCATATCCGTCGCGCCCCTTCCGCGTCGAACCCCCGCGCCTGTCTTACGCGGCCGCCCCTATTCAGGTATCGCGCGCAAGCCCAGGTAGGCGTTCGCCCTGGCCGAACGCGCGCTGTACGTGGCGCGGCTTACGCGTCGGTGCGAGCTCGGATGCGGATGCATGCGCAAGGGCCTGCGCTGGGGGATTAATATTCGGAATTGCGCTGGGGGGCGTTTCTGGAACGCGCGGATCTGCGAACGCGAAGCTGCGAAGAGTGCGCGGAGGCCGCGTAGCGCAGGGCGCGGATGTGCAGCATCCACTGGCCTTGCTTACTTGCTGCACGCCTGCGCGTCAAGTCCGCGCCCGCGCCGATCGTCCGGGGATCAACGCGCCGCCGCCCGGCCCCGCTAGGTCGCCGTACGCCGCGCCGCCGCCGCCCCGGTAGGTACGCACGCCGCACGCACAAGCTCTGGCTCTAGCTCAGGCTCTGGCCAGCCTAACCTCCCGTCGCCGGCGTTCGGCCCGGAACCCGCCCGCCCGGCCGGGCCCGCCCGCCCGCAACCTTCAAGGTTAAGTTTAATAGTCCATGCTCAAGCGCACCGTCGAAATTCGACGCGGACGCGGACGCCGCTGGGTTCCTGGGGAGCTTCCCCAGCGCCCGCCAGCGCTGGCCGGCGCCAGATCGGGAAGGCTCTTTCGAACGGTCGGATGCTGGACGCGGATGCTGTGGTTTTAGCCCAGCGGCGGCGGCGGTGGGCTTCGAGAAGGCCGCGGATGAGGATGACGTCGCAGTCTAAGTGTAAGTGGAGGTGTATGAATACAGCCAGTGCCATTGCCAGGGGTTCGAAAGACGCTTCGAGTTCGCGCACAGCACAGCAGCTGAGATACGCCTAGTCCCCGTCCCAGGCAGGGGGTCCTCGCCTCGCCGCATGACGCTGACGGGCAGCACGGAGGGAGAAGCCGCGCCATATCGCCGGCGCCGTTTCGCCATTCCCGGGCCCGGGCCCGGGGCTGTCCCCTTCCCAGCGCGGTGCCTGGTTTCCAGAACGTCCAGAAGCGCGTGACCGTGACGTCGACCAGACCAGACAGCGTGCTACGCCCCGGCCACCGCTCCTCCCAGTGCTTACTAGTGTGCCAATGGGAGCGTCCAACGCTGAAGCCAGGAGTTGCGTTTCGCCGGGCCCGGGCGCCGGGCGCGCCGGCAGCAGTGCATGTGCGACAGTCCATTGTCCATTTCCGCGCTCCGCCGACTCGGAGGGGCAGATCGAGAGACGGCAACGGCGACTGGGCCCACAGACAGACAAGTCGCCGTGCAGGAAGCAGGAAGCAGCCCCGTCGCCTTCGCTGCTGGCGAGATGGGCGCCTATGCCCACGAGCGGTGTTTGCGCTTACGAGAGATAGCGGCGGAGTCGGGGTCGAGCCGGAGCTGGCGTTCGCGCGGGGGTTGTGCGGCGCACACACGCACACGCACACGCACACACAGAACGGGACGGGGGCGATTCCGTGATGCGCATGTAAGCGCGCAAAGCAGAGTTTGGCCAGGTGGTGACAAAGTGTACTCGCGATCGTGGACGCCGGGACGGGACTAGGCACTAGTGGCAAAGTGCAGTGCAGTGCGACGGCGTCGCAGGTGGGTGGGGCCTTCCGGAGCGGGCAGCGGGCAGTGGGCACTGGGCAGTCACGGTGTCTGCCAGTGCAGTGGGGCGGTGCAGCGGGGCGGTGCAGGGAAGTCCGGAGCAAAGTAAGCACGGTTTCAGGCTGCTTTAGGGCAAGTGTCAGCTGCAGCGCACGACCAGTAGTAGTAGAGCCGGGGATAGAGCGGGCTAGCCCGACGCAGACTCGCACATACGCGCGCCGGGGCTCCGGCGCCAGTGGCTGGTTGGCAGCACTCGGCAACGGGCGCTGCCCTGCCCTGCCTGCAAAGAAGCCCCCCATCGGGCTAGCCCGACGCAGTGCACATACGCACGCCGCCGCCAGTGGCTGGTTGGCAGCACTCGGCAACGGGCGCTGCCCTGCCCTGCCTGCAAAGAAGCCCCCCATCGCGAAGAGAAGCCCCCAGCAAAGACTTGGATGCGGACGCCGGACGGCGATCAGCATCAGCAGCCAGCCAGCCACAACGGCGACGGCGGTGCGGTGCGCTTCGCGACGGCGTTTGGGCCATAATCACTGTCCGAGTCAACTAGCACTCCCCCGGACCCGCATCGTATGCGTATCTGTCCAACACCGTTGCGTGATGCAGCCCCGCCCCACGCCCACGCCCACGCCCACGCACCCGCGGGCGGGCATAGCGGATTAGCGGCCGCGGCCGCGGAGGATTGTTCGGGACGGGCGATCGGCGGCGCACGCCCACGTCCCGCGCCCGCAGATCCGCTGGCGCGGGCGCTAGCGCGGGCGTCGTGGCGCGTCGTGGCGCGCGTCGTGGCGCGCGTCGTGGCTGCATCAGAAAAGAAAAGAACACAACATCGTAACGCGTGATCGCTGATGTGATCATGATGGCCAACGCGTCACACGTGAGGTCAGCGTCACGGTGCCGCGTTGGCAGTTGCCTTGTGCGCTGCTCCACCGGCACTTCCGGTGCGACGCCGCGCGGACACGACACAAGAGGGAGAACTTGAAGCCGGACGCTGAAACTGGGGCTGCAACGCTCCACCGCGCCGGGCCCACGGACATCGCGACTAGTGCTAGCTCACTCCGAGTCGGACACTGCCCAGTGCCCCGGCGAAGGCGACACTGCACAGATCTAGAGGCACCCCACCCCGGTCGCGACGCGGTGGACGTGGACGTGGGGTGCACCGCCCGCGATAATGGACGCGGTGATATC